TAGTTTTAATATGTCTGTGTAATTACTCCCAGTCCTTGGAGGGTTTATAGTAAAAGAAAATTGTTCATATTTGGCAGTAGTTTTTATAGTATATGGTATTGTGTAAAGGTTTGTTGTAAGGTTTCTTCTTCCACCCAGTCATTGTCTGTGTCCATGTATATATATAAACCTGTGGAGTACAGAGTCATGGTTGTGTTATATCTATAAATATGTATTCACATGTAAATTAAGTCCAGCTGAGACTGACCCCCTGCTGTGCATGTGTCTGAAACATCAGGGACATCAGGAAGAGCTGATTTGTGAAATGAGATGTTTGAAGGCAGGTCACCACAGGCAGCACCTCCAGGCGGATCTCCACTGTGTAACAGTGTGAGGGCTAAACCGGGACTGAAGCAGGGATAAAACAGGACGAAACTGGGACGAAAGCCAGACGAAAGCCGGACGAAAGCCGGACGAAAGCCGGACGAAAGCCGGACGAAAGCTTGACTAAACATGGACGAAAACTCGACTAAACATGGACTAAACATGGACTAGACCTGGACTAAAGATGGACAAAAGCTGGGCTAGACCTGGACTAAAGCAAGACTAGAACTGGACTAAAGCAGGACAGAAGATGGACAAAATATGGAGTAAAGATTGAGTAAAATGGGACTAAACTTATACTAAACCAGGACTAACTAGAAAAGCACTCAGAGAGCGCAGACCTCCACCAAGGACTACCCCCATTTTTTATATAAATTGCGATAAAATCAGTCTTCTGGATCAGATCCGGATCAGCCTTTGGAATATGAAAGAGGATCCCATTGTCCATCCCTGAGTCAAATTTCATGGGGTTTGGTCAATAATTAACCGAGATATTGAGAAACAAAATTTTTGGCCCCATTTACCACAATGTTAACTAAAATTTCAAAGTGATCCAGAATCCAGGATTTCTTCCGGATCACCCCCAAAATGAAATCAGTTCTTCCTTTTCACATTTCCAACAAATCCTGAAAATTTCATCAAAATCGGTCCATAACTTTTTGAGTTATGTTGCTAACAGACAAACAAACAAACAAACAAACGCCGGCAAAAACATAACCTCCTTGGCGGAGGTAAATATAGACTAAAGGAGGACTAAACTAGGATTAAATCAAGACTAAAGAAGAACTTAACCAGGACTAAAGCAGGACTAAATCAGAACTAAACCAAGACTAGACTGTACTAACCCAGCTTTCAGGAGAGCCAGAGAAACATCGGGACTATTGGACTTAATAAGCCCCATTGTTGACTCTTCTGAATCTGACCCATGTAATGTTTTCTGAAGTGTGGTCTGCTTTCCATTTCGTCTGGTCTCTTCAGTAAAACAACAGAGAATCAAAGAAAGACTTGAGCCCTCCCAGTCTGAGTTAGAACATTTTACTTTGGTGATACAGGAAGGCTGGAAGTTTGTTTAAAAATGCTATTTGTAATCATTATTTAAATTATTGCATTATTCAGTTAGAAACATGTATTAATTATTACACAAAACTGACTTAAACTGGCTTTAAACTGTGTTATAATGTTGTTAGCTCATCAAAAACATAGGCAGAGTTGTGTTTTGTTTCACTCTCACATGTTTGAGTAACTCATTATTAGTCTCTTTACATCTCCTAAGCTCAAAATGCTCAGATCCACCTTGTGATGTCATGAAGCAGTAGTTTTCAAGTTAAAAGCTACTTTCTATGTTTTATTTCAATAGACGTGGGAAATTGTAGGACTGAAATTATCCAAATGATTCTAGTGAAGGTGTACGGAGCACTTCCTGTATTACCACATGACCACAGTTGGGCAAGTTACTTGAAAACTATAATGTGTTATTTATCACTTGTTACTGTCATTTCAAAGTTATTTCTTACATTACAAAATGACTGCATTTAAAATGTAAGACATTACACGACTACTGCAGCACATTTAAGTTACTTGCACCAAAATAACTGTCGCTGATTGTCAAAAAACTATCAGCAAGCGCAGATGCCAAACTTTTGCGCCTTAAAGGGACTGACCCACGACTAAACCGGGACTGAACCCAGGATTGAACCCAGGACTGAACCCAGGACTGAACCAGGACTAAACCAGGACTGTACCAGGACTAAACCAGGACCAAACAAGGACTAATCTTGGACTAGGACTTGGAATCTAGACCCGTCCCTGAGAGAACACCAAACCTGTGGAGCAGGGTGTTCGCAAAGTGTGATCCGGCGTCAGCTGCGATTAGCTCTGTGGGGCATGGAGTCCTGCGCCGGTCCTTTTGCCCGCGGTCACCCGACGGTCTACGCGGGTGCACCTTTGGGCCCGTCCTGACATTCGGAACCGTAACGATGGCGTTTCACCACTGCTGATATCGAGATTATTTTAGCGAAAACCCACCACTTCTATCCAGGTTAAAAATGCACTATACTGACATTTCTTCCATGAAATGCCTGACATTACTGCTTTACAACAAAAAGCAATGCATTAGAGTAATTTGTGACTTTTATAACGCATTACTCCCAACACTGCACATGACATCACAAAGTGGAACAGAGTGTTGTCCGTTTGAGAGAAGAACTCAGCCATACGACTCCAGGCTTTTGTCCAGACAGATGTTTATACATGTCCTTCCCTGCAAAATCTGAACCAGAACAGTCCAGTGTATAGTGAGTTGTGTCAAAACAAAAATAAAATAATTTCATAGCAACTTTCGAAGGTCATTTTTAATAATGAATTCATTCTTTCTTCTTCTAAATATTTGTATGTTTTGCCGCACAAATATGTCCATTTAAATCACCCCAGACCATTTCTTTTTCTGTCTATTGAGTTGCAAGGCCTACATCTGCGCCACACTGGAGAAATATTTCAAATAACTATGGCAGCCTGGCAGGGTCAACCTTCATTATTTCACTGTACAACTATTCACTGTTTAGAACATGGAGTTCCCAAACTTTTCTGTCCTGCTCTGACCCTGATAATAATAATAGTCGCCTAATCAGAATTTCATTGCACCATGTAACTTTTCTTAGATTAAACAACTACACGACTACATCTCCATGGATACAGGCAGGTATCCACGGAGATGGTGTTTAGAGATGTTTTTGTAAATAAGAATAAATCAACATTACAATTTTTATCAGTGACATTTTTCTCTGATTTGCACATGTTTATCTTGCATCTGGGGCAGAGATAGGTCAGGTTTTTGCATACAAATCCTTTAGAATACCAACCAAATACCAATGTTTTTTCATTACTTTATTGCATCTACACAAAGAAATGATTTTAAACATACATACACACTAACAGATGAAAGATATACACAGAAATTACAAGACATTTGGGTAAATAATTGATTCAGATTGATTTTTTTTTCTTTTTCTACTTCTATTCTTCTATTCTTTTTCATTATAAATTGATAAAATGTAATTAGTTTGTCTATTTTGAAGGATTTCTAATGGCTTGACTTAGATTTGCCTGTTATTGATACTTAACGTGCATCTCTATTGGTAGAATGTTCAGCAGTTTCCATGGTGACACAATGCACACATGAGCAAACACAAGAGGTTTAATGGTACATGTTTTCATGCCGAATCATTTCGGTGTCGCGGCCAAAACTTGCCCTGTGCGAGGTCCGCTATGGCTGCAGCATGTGTCATCTCGAACGCGTCTTCCATAAAAGAGTCCAAATACTGTGCTCCTCAGTTAGTTTATCGGCCTACCTTAGCCATCCAAACATACGCAGAATCAGCTCTCATTCACAGCGACGACCGTCAAAAGACTGTATACCTTCACGGTGCAACACCTGTGTGCACATTTTCCTCCCCTTATATAGGACAGCAAATTACGTATCAAGTTACAGATAGCGCCACTGTGCACAAGTGAGTTTGCTCTATTTGTGTGTTTACAGTCCGCCACTACATGTGCAGCTACACTGAAAGCTCGGCTCTTTAATATTCATGAGGGAACCCGTCTGTGATTGGGGTGACAGTGTTTCCCGCGGCGCTTTATAGTTAAGGCAGCCGCTTTGACGACAGTTGTCAAGGCCCCCCCATACCCACCACCTCTGTCTCTAGTGAAAGTGTATATTCAACCGCCGGGGACGTTGTAACTGCAGCAGATCTGCACATACTGCAGACAAGGTGGACAAGTTGTTTTTCCTGGCCACAAATATGAAGATCGAGTAAAAGTTCATCCTGGACCTGTTTGTGCTGCACTTTACTTTTTGAAAAGTTTTGTTTACTGTATACAAGGAATTTATTTTTTTTATAATATTTCATACATTTGTTGCTTATTTGAGAATATTTTGTTTAACTTATTGGTATTCCCAAGCAGCACTTTGCATTTATTTTATTTTCTCGTTTGTATAAAGTTAAAACAAATAGTTGGTTTAATAAACACACAAATAAACAAAAGCAAATGGTTTTTCATTTTGTTCCCATACTGTACCGAAAATGAACCGAACCGTGACCTCAAAACCGAGGTGCGTACCGTTCCACCCCTAGTAAACATGGTCAAAAAGTTGAAAGATTGTCTGAAAACTTAATAAAAAACTAAATGGATTTAAAGAACAGCCTGCGATTATTACGAACCTTCATGGTCCTGTTTAGGTGTTTGATTTTCAGTAAAAAGTGAGCGTGAGTAACTGAAAAAACTGTTGGCTAATATTATTTGAGAGAGACTTGTTTATCAGCACAAATCATCTCACCTCTTGTCTTTCCACCCAACTCAGTTCTCTCATCAGATGGTGTTAAAATAAAGCTCAGATTAAAGTCTAACTTGAGTAACAGCGCTTCAGACAGAGCAGTGCTTTCAGTTACAATCACACTCTCAGGTAATGTTGATGACGTCAGTTGCGAAGTATCAATCTGAAGTATTTTCTTAGGCGGTACTTGGTCTGAAAAGTTTGAGAAGCACTTAAACAGACAATGCACAGTTAATCCAACTGGGGGTGTGTACAATTATTCCTGTTCATTATTTTGAATTCACGTTGCTCTGCGTTACATTTCCAGGTCTGGATTTCCACGAAGACCTCCACCGGATCGGAGCGAAAGAGGGTTTGAAGGGTCGGAAACTGCAGAAGGCCCTGGAGAGCTACGCCTGGAACATCACAGTACTCAAGGTGAACCGCTGCACAGAATCACCGCTATTAGCAACACACAAAAGACCCCTGTTATTTAGATGATGTAATGTCCTCTGTGGAGAACTAGATACTGTTTCCATGGGCGATAAAAAAAAAAACCTGATAATCCTGTAGTTTAGACCGATACAACGAGTTGTGAAACACTTGTGATTCTAGGACAAGTGCACGGATTACAAAATATAGATAATTTTTATAGTGTAATGTTAAAGAGATAAACCAGGACAAAACCAAAACTACACCAGGACTGAACCAGGACCAAACCAGGACCAAACTAGGACTAAACCAGGACCAAACTAGGACTAAACCAGGACCAAACTAGGACTAAACCAGGACCAAACTAGGACTACACCAGGACCAAACTAGGACTACACCAGGACCAAACTAGGACTACAGGACCAAACTAGGACTAAACCAGGACCAAACTAGGACTAAACCAGGACCAAACTAGGACTAAACCAGGACCAAACTAGGACTAAACCAGGACCAAACTAGGACTAACCACTAGGACTAAACTAGGACCAAACTAGGACTAAACCAGGACCAAACTAGGACTACACCAGGACAAAACTAGGACTACACCAGGACCAAACTAGGACTAACCAGGACTAACCAAAAACTAGGACTAAACCAGGACTAAACCAGGACTAAACCAAAACTAGGAACTAGGACTAAACCAGGACCAAACTAGGACTAGGACTAACCAGGACCAAACTAGTAAGGACTAAACCAGGACCAAACTAGGAACTAAACCAGGACTAGGCAAACCAGGACTAAACCAACCAAACTAGGACTAAACCAGGACCAAACTAGGACTAAACCAGGACCAACTAAACCAGGACCAAACTAGGACTAAACCACCAGGACTAGGACCAAACTAGGACTAAACCAGGACTGAACCAGACCCAAACCAGAGCTAAACTAGGATTAAACAACCAGGGTTAAACCAGGTCTAAACCAGGTCTAAACAGGTCTAAACCATGACTAAACCAGGGATAAACCAGCGATAAACCAGTGATAAACTAGGACTAAACTAGGACCAAACCAGGACTAAACCATGAATAAACCAGGATAAACCAGGTCTAAACTAGGACTAAACTAGGACTAAACCAGGACTAAACCAGGACCAAACCAGGACTAAACAACCAGGGTTAAACCAGGTCTAAACCAAGTCTAAACCAGGGCTAAATCAGGTCTGAACTAGGACTGAACCAGAGCTAAACCAGAGCTAAACCAGAGCTAAACCAGAGCTAAACCAGAACTAAACCAGAACTAAAGCTAAACCAGGACTACACATTGCGTACCTTAGTTATCTGTTATCTAAAAAAAATCAGAGAAAAGGCTCTGTGCTTGTGTCTGTACAGCAGAGCAGGTAGCTTTATACTGACCATCTCATCAAAATATTGACTGACTGTATAACAATTTTTTGCAGGAAATTCACAGTAATGTTGACCCAGACAGTGTGATCATAGATTAGCATATGTTAGAGAGTCCAGACACTCCCACTTTATGTCTCGTATACATCATAAAGTCCATCATAGTACGGTATTTCCCAACCTTATTGACACTTTAAAGTTCAGACATTGACTTCTCTTTATGACACATGAAAAGGGACTTCGAACTAGGGATGGGCATTCGATGAAATTTTCTTAATCGATCGTCAGAAGAATTAACGATCGATTATCGATTAATCATTAACGTAAATGATCATCATTATTATTACTATCTGCACTACTAATCTGCATAAATAAATTCAAGTTTACGACATATAAACCGTAACGACTCTAGAGCCACATCAATCCGTTTGACATTATAATGTGTTTAATTCAGTTTTGCGCAACTCTCACAGAAACGAAACTTAAAACCGCATCGCTAATTTGCATAAACTCAGCGAAGATAAAACTACAGCTCTTGTGTCGCTGATGCGGTCAATTTCTGTAGGATTAAAAGACATGACTCAGTGGAATACAGGTTAGTGTGACCAGATTTGCGTTTGTCAAAACCAGGACACCGTACGGGGGGAGGGAGGTGAGTCCTCGTCATCGACATTGCGCGACTCTCACCTGGTAAAGCTTTTTCCCACTGGACACGAAACATATGTTCCTGCTTTGTACACTGTGCACATGGACTCACACTTGTCCCGAACGCAACGGAAAGCGTGGATTTTCTTGTATAAATCATCGTTAAATACACATTTGTGCTTCGGTACATTGCAGACTGACCGAATGTTTGTGTCTCGCTCCTTCTGAGTGCAGAGAGACACATGTACAGACCCCTGTTTGGTCAATTAATCATGCCCATCCCTACTTCGAACTACTTCCATATTGCATTGTGAATTAACATGAATGAAACATTACAAGCACAGATTAATTGTCACAGGAGCTGGTGGCATCAGATCGTTCCATCTCTGGAGCCGCTTTCAGTCAGATTAGTGTGGACGAACACTGCATCCCCAACTTAAACAACTCGAATACATACTAGTGTGGACAGGGCCTAAAAGTTACAAGTTCTGAAAAGTAGATTTTGCGTAAGAGGTCTGCTGTAAAAAATCCCTTAATAAATTCGCAGAAGTCTTATAAAACACTTTTCCAGGCAATCAAAGTCAATCCATACTATTATAGCCGCAGCTGCCCTGGGCCAGACTGACGGAAGCTGCTAATCTGCTCCATTGGGCCCTCCGATCAACACACACACTCACACACACACACCGCATTCATTTTAAGTGTCTTTCTTAAGAACTCAACAACAGTTTACATTAGAGCCACTGCAGTCTCTTTGTATCGCCTCATACACCCAGCGGTCTCCCATCCAAGTACTGCACTGCAAAAGGTCATATGTAGATCAATTTAAATAACTTAAATTCAGAACTTTTCACTTGATTTGAGTAGATCTGACTGAACAAGTAAAGTTATCTACCAGTGGAATGGAACAAAAGACTGGTGCATTGTGTAACTTTTCTGCTGAAGAGTCCGTCAAATGCTTTTCTCCATGCTGATTGTTTTTGCTTTGTCTTGAATGTTTCACAGTATGGCATTAACCCTTTACATCTTCATGGAGACCAAACCAGACCAAGTTACAGGTCAGGTTACACTGTCAGAATGTCTGTTTTTCAAGATATTTTTAAGCTATAAAACCACCTGTAATTGAGTAAATGCAATATAGAGCTGTTTAATGTCATACTGTGGAACATTCCAGACAGAGCAATGACGTATCCATAGAAACAAAAAGGTGACAGAGCCCTGACCACAAGTAAAATTATTATAAAATTATTATTTAGTTTCTTATTTCAAGTGCTAAGAGTTGTTGTTTTTCTTATCTTTAAAAGTGCACTATGTTACTTTTTGGTTGCGGGCTTATCAATTACCTGCTTGTTTCTATGGATACGCCTCTGCTCTGCCTGGAATGTTCCACAATATGACTTTAAACAACTTTTATTCAGTTACAAGTCAATTATAGCTCAAAAATATCTAGAAAAACAGACATTCTGACTGTGAGCGGGGTCGCCTCTCCACAGACCTGACCTGTAACTTGGTCTGGTTTGGTCTCCATGACGATAGAAAGGTTTAGTACCATACTGTGAAACATTTCAGACAAAGCAATAATATGAAGAAAAGCATTTGACGGACCTTCCATCAGAAAAAAATAAAAAAGTATCAAGATGCGTTTTCATATTTTAAGTACAAAAAGCTTTTTTTTTTTTTTTTTTTAGATTTCATTTAGATTAGATTTAGACTTTAGATTAGATTTCACTTTTTGCAGTGTACCCAGGCGCGCTCCTGCTTAGCTTCAGATACCAGACACGACTCGGCATTGACAGGGAGGTTTGGCCACTTGTGTAAACCAATATCTTTTGTTAATGTAAGCACTGGATTGGACGGATTAACTCTACTACATTAGTAATCCTAGATCAAAAGAACAAACCAGGATTAATTCCCACTTAACATGACACTTTAACGACGGGGCGGAAAATACGGAGACGCTGTTTAAACAAAACTTTTATGGGGATTCAAATTCTCTAAAATAAACAAAGATGTATTATGTAACTTTTCTGATGGAGAGTCCGTCAAATGGTTTTCTTCGTGATGTTATTGCTTTGTCTGGAATGTTTCTCAGTATGGCATTAAACCTTTCTATCGTCATGGAACCCAAACCAGACCAAGTTACAAGTCAGATCTGTGGAAAGGCCACCCCGCTCTATGTATTTTTGAGTTGTAAAACCATCTGTAATTGAGTAAATGTAAATTAAAGCTGTTTAATGTCATACTGTGGAACATTCACATCCATAGAAACAACCAGAAAAGTTACACAGTGCACCGGTAACACTTTATAAAAACTACACCTTATTTAGCCTTAATAAAGCATGAACAAAGACTTAATTAATAATGATTTACGCTTAGTAACTACTTAATTACTACCTGAATTAGCACTTAACTTGCACTTAATTCACCTGTGCTATAAATAGTAACTCAGTACTTCTTAATTACTCATGAACTAACCATTTGCATGTTTACAAATGCATATTTAAGTTCACATTTGAGCATTTATTAATGATTAATAAGCTATGAGATAATGATTTACTAATAATGCAATGCAATGATCATTCAGGCAGCTGTTATCTGTTAGTTAAGTCTTTCTGAGAGATTTTCTAAAGTGAAGACGAATTATGCTTTATTAAACATTTGTTAAGGTTAGTCAAATTCCAGAGAAACAATAATGCATTACTAGTAAATCATTCTCTCATGGCTTACTAATCATTAATAAATGCTCAAATTTGTACTTAAATATACATTTACAAATGCACACACAAATGGTTAGTTGATGAGGAATTAAGTAAGAAATACTTATGAGTAACTGTTTACAGCACAGGTGAATTAAGTGCAAGTTAAGTGCTAATTCAGGTAGTAATTAAATAGTTACTAAGTGTGAATCATTATTATTTAAGTCTTTGTTCATGCTTTATTAAGGCTAAATAAGGTGTAAGT